GTTTCATAACATTTGGTTGAGGCAAACTCAAGTTAGAGAATGGAAACCAATTTTGGGACGTACGTACGTACAGACAGACAAGGGTAAAACTTAATGCCCCCACCGCTACGGCAGGGGCATAAAAACAATGTCAGCAATTGAATGAGGACAATGATTTGATGTTTAACTTCCTAGTGACTACTATTTCAATCATGGCCAGATCATGTTCATGTGATATAAATATGAAATCTGCTTACTAGATCGAGGAGCTGTACAGGATTCTTAACATGCTAGTTCAGTCTGAAGGCAGACATGTCAATCAGAACCTTCCCAGTCATATTATTCTGACTGACCAGTTTGTGCTCTTACTCATATATTCAAGATATGTTGTACCCCAGGCAGTTTAACACAGGAACTTGTTCAGACATCTAAACCTATTCAATGTGAATACACCCAGAAAAATAGTGTCATTTTGCTTAGTTTCTTTTGTTACCTATTCTAACATTGGACCTGGACTTCTTTCAAATGGAGTTTTACTGTGCGTATTGCTGTGTGTTTGTTTATTCTACATTGGTTAGAGGTATAGGGGGAGGGTTGAGATCTCACAAAACATGTTAAACCCCGCCACATTTTTGCGCCTGTTCCAAGTCAGGAGCCTCTGGCCTTTGTTAGTCTTGTATGTTTTTTAATTTTAGTTCATTTATATGTTTTGGAGTTTAGTGTGACGTCCATTTTCACTGAACTAGTACACATTTTTATTTAGGGGCAAGCTGATGCCCGCCTTCGGGTGCAGGATTTTTTCGCTGTGTTGAAGACCCATTGGTGGCCTTAAAAGGCTGTTTTCTGCTCTTTGGTCGGGTTGTTGTCTCTTTGACACATTCCCCGTTTCCATTCTCAATTTTATTAAACATTATTTTCCAATTTTTAGGCAATTTAACTCGTTCTGGACCAATTATGTAAAAAAAAAAAATAATCAACGTGTAGTTGCTGGTGATCTCAGTAGATTATTGGCTAAGTTAAACGTCATAACCTTTATCAACTCTCCAGATGAATCATAATGTGCATACAGGTGTTAGAGAAATTGACAACTTTATATTTGTATGTTGTAGAAATCAGAATTGTGGAAGGCACTCCATCTGGATTTTCGTTCCATCAAAAATGAACATTTATTTCATAATCATTAGAGAAACAGATTGTTGCATATTTACTCATGGATTATCAAATTTATCCAATATCAATAGTTAAATTATCAAGGCTCCGACTTAACTATTTGGATTGCATAAATCCAATAATCCACTGGTACAATGTAAGAATCTATATATAATGAATATTCCGACCATTATAAACATAAAATAGTACAATCATAATGTTATAAAAGCATTTGGATTGCATAAATCAAATAATCCACTGGTACAATGTAAGAATCTATATATAATGAATATTCCGACCATTATAAACATAAAGATAGTACAATCATAATGTTATAAAAGCAAAGTTATAAATATTAACAGACGTAGAATATTTGAAGAGTTATTATTGTATAAAATTTACAATGCGACACAGCTGGCCTTAATAAAACACTAAGATGCGCTCATGTTTCCATATTTATTACTAAATAAATAATCATATAAAAAAGCATTCTACAAAATGTAGATACACAAAATTAAGCTCCTAGACAGCTCAAAACACACAAACTTTCTACAACTATATCCATTTTATATGTCTGCAAGCAGCCTCTTTTTCTGCTACTTGAATAAAATATATTTTAAGACTTAAGCACATTTTGAGATTATTTGGTCCTGTAAATGCACAGAAAAAGAAAATATATGATAATAATAGATAACATTTTTGAAAGTGTGAACAAAGGTTTTCAGAAAAATTAATACCAGTAAAAGCTAAATGACAAAATTAAACTTGGACCTTATAGGACTGATTTTTCACAAAAATGCCAAATCTAATGAAAGTACACATGTTCAACATGTTATTCTGAAAATTGGACTTATTTTCAAATATATTTGATGTTAGGGCTATTTTAACCAACAAATATCTTTGGTGATAAATCAGACGATTTAAGTGACAATCTGCCTAAGAATCAGGCAGTGGTGAAAACATGACAAACAAAAACCCACTCAAGTTGACATTAATTTATGTTCAAATTGTATCATGGTGCATGAATATAACATTCGTTTCCTTGTCCTGTTCTGGTAATTCAAGATATAATTTGGTTGAAATGCACTAGAAATTAACAATTAAAGGGAGATAACTCTGTAATTTGCTATCATTCTAACCAAAAGTTATCTAAAGATTTCTCTAATTACCAGAACAGCAGAAACAAAAGACCTACCATTTCTAACTCAGGATGAGGGTAACTTCAAAATAGGATAGATTGGTCGGTGGGTTTTTTTCGGCCATGTTTTGAAATTTTTCTAAATTGCCTGATTCTTACAAAGACTGGCACTTAAAATTACTTTCCTTTTCATTTATTCTTCAATAACAGTAAATATTACTTAACAAATTTCACCCAACTAGGCATAGCTTTTGGTGTGATGCAACAGAAGAATGTCTTATTTAAGAGAAGGTATTCTTTTGTTACTCTGATACACAGGCATTTTTTTTTCACATGAACTTCATGTAAAGTAAAATTCATGTTAAATGAGTTTCACATGAAATGAAAATAAAATTTCAAATGAATCAACAGTGTTAAGATTTGAAATCAATATATCATTTTACTAACCTATTGAGAATAAAAAAGCCCTGATTTACATAATCATATAGTGGTTTAAACCAGACCCAGTCAGGTCAAGTAGACAAAATTATACATAGAAACTAACAGGCTAGATAAAATCTAATTTCAGACAGTTCTGAATGTTGAAAATGCTACAAAGACTAGAAGGTCTATCACAGAAAATCAATACAAGTATAGAGTGTTAGCCGAAATAGCAATCACAGAGGCATATTTAGTTTCTACTGATCCCTGCAGGGGCATACAATCAAAATTTACACATTGAAATATTTGGAATCTGCAATTTATATACTTCACTTATGTTTTTGAAATGTCTTTATGATGATAGTTTGTAGTTTTTTTTTATTCCAATGGTCTAAACATAAAGTTCTACTTTGAAAAATCATAACTTCCCTTTGCTCTTCATTGAGGCATACAGTTTTAGTCCCTTTAGGGAACAGTAGAAATCCCTTTAATTGTAAATGCAAGAATCAAACACGGTCTTCAGCAAACTCTCTATTCACCTCAAGTATTATACATAACTTGCAGAAGATAGTCTACCTCAATTAAGTAAGAACAACTACAGTAATGTTACAGAATGTGTTAGTGTAAGCTACTAACACTAACAATGTATGTGTGTTAGTGTAAGCTAATAACACTAACAAATTTATGTGTGTTAATGTAAGCTATTAACACTTACAAATTATGTGTGTTAGTGTCAGCTACTAACATTGTAATGTTTTAAAAAATATGGTCTATGAAAATCATATTAATATTTGCATTGAAATATTAAAAAAAATTCTTTTTAACTTCTTTTAAAAAAACATAAAAAGAAAAAAAAAAACAATGTTTGACAACATACAAATATTAATCGGTTGGTCGTTTTATCATTTTTTAATTTTCTAATAAACAAACCAATCTATTTATCGACACACAGAAATGTCTTACCTGTATTGCTATCATGACCATAACATATTATTGAAGTATAAAAAGATATTCAGACATTTCGTTAAACAGCATTGTCAATAATTTCATTAACCTTTCACGGAGCATTTGGTTTTTATACTACATGTACAATTATAAAAATTTTCTACCATTTTGAAATTTTTACACAAGAATTGAACTTTACCTCAATGAGATAGCAACCAAACAAAACAAAGAAGGTAATCATTATATTAATTTTGACTCAGGTTTTTTATTACTGTAAATTCAATAAAATGCTCCGCTGGGCACAGCTTGATACGACCGCAGAGGTCGAACCCTGAACAGTTGGGGCAAGTATGGACACAACATTCAAGCTTGATACAGCTCTGAATTTGGATTGTGATTAAATATTTGACACAGCATAGGTTAAGAACTTAAAATTTTTTAATTTACCTATTATGGTCCAATATCCAAAATCTAAATACATAGTTAGATTCAGCATATCAAAGAATCTAAAGAATTCAATTTTTTATGAAATCAAACAAAGTTTAATTTTGGACCCTTTTGACCTCAATGTGGACCAATTTGATAACAGGGCCCAAAAATCAAAATACATGGTTAGATTTAGCATATCAAAGAACCCCATATATTCAATTTTTGTTGAAATCAAACAAAGTTTAATTTTGGACCCCAACTTGGACCAACTTGAAAACTGGGCCCATAATCAAAAATCTAAACACATGTTTAGATTCAGCATATCAAAGAACCCCAAGAATTCAATTTTTGTTAAAATCAAACTAAGTTTAATTTTGGACCCTTTGGACCTTAATGTAGACCAATTTAAAAAACAGGACCCAAAATTGAAATCTAAATACACGGTTAGATTTGGCATATCAAAGAACCTCATTAATTCAATTTTTGATGAAATCAAACAAAGTTTAATTTTGGACCCTTTTGATCGCAATATGAACCAATTTGAAAGCGGGGCCCAAAATCCAAAATCTAAATACATGTTAAGATTCAGCATATCAAAGAACCCCATATATTCAATTTTTGTTAAAATCAAACTAAGTTTAATTTTGGACCCTTTGGACCTTAATGTAGACCAATTTGAAAACTGGACCCAAAATTAAAAATCTAAATACACGGTCAGATTCGGTATAACAAATAAATAAATGTGGTCAAAGATTTTACAAATCTAATGCGCCATACTGTGCAATTAAAGATTACTTCTTGAAATTTTTCAATATTTGAAATTTGAAAAAAAAAAAAATATTTGAATAATTCTTTTTAATTTCTGAAATCTACAATGAGAAAAAATTGACCCCCCACAATTTCTTTTTACCCCCCCCCCCCCCAAACCCTTTTTCCCCAAAAAAATTCTTTCCCTCAAGATATGGTCATAATCTCAATACAAATTTCCAATGGAATTTGCAACCATAATTACCCATTTTAATTTACCATTGTGCAACTTAATCTATTTTATAATAGAATTTAAAATATGGTGTCAAATCTTTCATATGGATTTTTTTGTATTTGGATTACCTCCCTTACACTGTTTTAAATTGTCTTAGTTGTTCATTAACCATTACTTTATACATAATTTAAAAGCAGTGTAAGGGAGGTAATTCAAATGATGTATTTGATTTATCTCCCTTACACTGATTTAAATTATGTTTTGTACTAAAGTATTTGTCCATTAACCAGGACAACCTTGTTTTTCCCCCTTTTTTGCCCCTAATTCCTAAACGGTTTGAGCCATAACCCCCCAAAGCAAATCCTAACCATCCCTTTGTGGTATGGAAACTTGTGGTATAATTTCAGAGAGATCCATACACCGTTCCACAAGTTATTGTCTGGAAACTAGAAAATGCTTATTTTTGGCCCCTAATTCCTAAACTGTTGGTACCATAACCCCCCAAAGCAAATCCTAACCATCCCTTTGTGGTATGGAAACTTGTGGTATAATTTCAGAGATCCATACACCGTTCCACAAGTTATTGTCTGGAAACTAGAAAATGCTTATTTTTGGCCCCTAATTCCTAAACTGTTGGTACCATAACCCCCAAAATCAATCCCAACCTTCCTTTTGTGGTATTTAATCTTATGGTAAAATTTCATAGAGATCCATTCACTTAAACTAAAGTTATAGTGCTAAAACCAATGTGTCTTCGGACGACGACGACGACGCCAACGTCATACCAATATACGACCGCAAATTTTTTTTCGGTCGTATAAAAATGTTTGCTATATTTTTATTACTTCAAATATTGTGACAGGATAGGTTTCGCCAAAAAAAAAACTTCGCTTTAAAAGTTTGAAAGCATTAGCATCTACTGAAATTGTAGTAATGATAATCTTGTTAATCACAATAATAAAGGAACAACCACATTTCTGAATTTGAAGTATTAATTTACACATTGACTAATGTTGACATAAAAATGATATTTTTATTTAAATATAACTTGGACTTCATGTAAAATTTTTCAATTCAAATGAAGCTCATGTGACTTAAAAATGCGTTAAAACAGTGTTATAAGTTGTATTTTCAATGAGGGTCAGAACAGGTATATTAGCTTTGTTTTATCTGCAACAATTTGTTCAATGGTTAGAAAATGATTAGAGATTGCATTAGTTCTAAGTGGGTATAAGGATATCAAAATGTCATTATTCAAAATAGTAATAAAACTCAATTAATTCATTAATAAATTAGGCTAATTAATTCATATAACAGAAATCAAAGAAAAAATAAATAAATTTAGGCCATACCAAATATTTTTTTCTCCAAATAAAACATATTTTTTTCAAACCAATATCTGACAAATTTTCCTTTACAAATATCAAAATAACAATTTTGACTTCCAAATTTTTCTACGATTGACCTAAATTTTGCACCGGTTGACCTTATGACATTTGTAAAACATTTGCTTTTATATGTCTGTAACTTTTTTTTTTTTTTCTGTCATAACTCTAACAAATTATCCTTCCAAAGCAGACAAATTCAATATTGGTGTTTATGTGTACAGGAAATGAAAGCTAATTCCTTAAAAATCTTCTTCACTTTCAATTACTTCCGGAGGTGGTGAAGGTGAGTTTCCAAATCCTAAATCAAGGTCACCTTCTAAAACAATCCTCTCACCTCGTTCACTAACATAAGATTGCTCAAAACTGTCCATGCTATAATTATAATCACTCATGCGCGACCGAGATTCTCTTTCACTCATGTCTTTTTTGGAAGCAATCATCGGTTCAACTTTTCCAACTTTGATGCCACCAGACTTCTTATCATCCGACTCGCTAATTTTTCTTGGTCGTGGTTGAGGAGTTGGTCTTTCATCCTCAGACATATCTTTGAAAAAACTATCACGTAGCGACCGGTCTTCCTCAGAGTTTTGAGACCGGCTCATCGGCAGCTGTGAAGTCAATTCACTAAGGTCCATCATGATATTTTCTTTTTCCGTCTCCCTTTCGTCAGCTATCACACTTGCTGGTTTGACTTGTGATTTTGTGCTGGATTTATCTCCCTTTGCATCCGGTCTATCATTTGTATTCACACTCACATTAGAATTAAATGCTCCACTGGTCTCACGTAAAATGCGTTCATACAAATCGTCAGTTTTTTTAACGGATGGTCTTTCGAAACTATCATCCCCATATCCACTTTGCATGGCAGGGTCTCTAAAACTTTCAATAAGTTTGGCAGTGAATTTATCTGGCTTTTCTAAGGAACTTCCAAAACCCCCTAACTGACCCTCACCTACTGGTTTACTAGATGAAATATCGCCATAGTAGGCATTCAGCCTTGATGTAGGTTTGAGTGGTTTAGGGGCCACTTTAGGTGGACTAGATGAAATAAATGATGATCTGAAGCTTGAATTTCCATTTAAAGCAGTGGAAGACATGTGTCTACCAAAAGGCGTGTCCTTTTTGTCCAATCCCGCCATTGTTATCAGCTGACCTAATCTAAAATGTAAATAAAATATATCATTATTTTTATATGTAAACAAAATAAATGATTATTTTTATATGTAAAACAAAATAAATTATTATTTTTATATGTAAACAAAATATATTATTATTTGTATATATGTAAACAAAGCAAATTATTATTTTCATATGACTAGATAGATCTTTCATTCAAAGGACTATAAGATTGCTACGCCGTAGTGAAATATCCCCTTCACTGTACAGATGAGGAATTAAATTGCGTGTCACGGTGTGTCATTGTGGATGATAGTCAAAATATGGTCAAAGTCCCTTAACTTCAATAAAAATTGTCAAATCAATCTGACGATTTAGCAGAGCCAAGAGAATGTGGTGACAAATAATCCTACAAAGTGTAAAAACTTTATGTTGAACGGTCTCTGAGTATTAATGTGTTTAACACAGACAGACAGAGACCATTACCATATCCCCTGCAGCACAACACACGAGGATTAATAAAAGTGACATCATCATTTATTTTAAGATCAAGGTAAAAATGTTGGTGTTGCAAGGTTTTTAAATTCAGAAATTTCTATGCCTGTAAATCCTGAAATAAAATTCCAGGCTTTTTCAAAATAACATGGTAACTCTGTTACAAGTCTAAAAATGGAGAGAACTTTTTACACATTTCAAGATAGTATCATCATAAAAATAAAAGAACAGAGTTCCAATGTCCCCCGAGTTGTACATATTTCATGTGTTTTGTCCAAGGACAATAACTAAAAAAAAAAAAAAGAGTAGAAGACTTGAGCAATTTCCGATATATTTAATATTTCCAAGGGAAAATATTTGATTGGCACTTTCTTTTGAAATTGTCTGAGACATTGCTGTTATATACCTTTGATATGAATTTGATTAAAATCTGGCAAAAATTGTACATGCAAGAGCACTTACAATGCAATTTTTCAAATTATTAATGTTTTAAAAAACTCTTTTAAAAATAATTGATTGGCACTGATTTTCGAACTCGTCCAAGACATTGCTAGTATTTACCTATGATATAAGTTAAATCTAACAAGAATTGTACAAATGAGAGCGCTAACGATGCAATTTTCCATACAATTGATGTTTCCAAGGGGCATAACTCTTTTACAAATAATTAGTCGGCACCGATTTTCGAACTCAACCAAGACATTGCTGATATAAACCTATGTATAAGTTTCATAAAAATCTGGCAATTGAGAGTGCTAACAAGACTGGACGGACGGAGAGACGGACGCCCAGTATTTCTATGTCCATTAGTAATACTATAAAATACTTTACCCAGATTCTCTTAGCAAGTCTAAGAATTGATGGAACTGTTTAAACGAGGCTTCAATCTCCTCCAGAACACTATCATCATCTAGACACCCTCCTCCTTTGTCATGCTTCAGTCGGAAACATTCATCCTTTAATTTCTTGTTATCTAAAGTTAGCTGCAATGGTAGAAAATTTAAATAAAATATCTGGTACTGCATATTCACTTATATCATGGTATACTGTAAATTCAGAAATTATTGCGTGCATTTATTATTGCGATTTTGTCATTTTAGACTAAAATGCAATTTAAATTTTTGCGATATTGAGAAAAATCCGGTTTAATTCATATAAAAAAGAGTTTAAATTATTGCGATTATAACCCTGTCGCATTTTTCGCATTCTTCTGGTAGTTTTGCATAAATCATTTGGACTGGTAAACGTTAATGACCCACGACCCATGTCCAAAAAAAAAAAATTCCTTTCCGACTCTCCCATCTTCATTTAAATGGAATAGCCAGAATTCAAAATCTAGGAGAAGGTATCACCCTTCAATGAGGGGCATAAAGAGGGGGAGGGGGGTTATCTGCACGGAAGAACGCGAACAAAAATTGCCATTTCACGATGAACGAACAATTAAAAATTTCTTGCATGTTGATCTTTTTACCGATTTCACGAAACATGGTGAATAACGAACCTTTTTCACGGCTGCATGTGAAATAAAAATGGCAAAACACGTTGCACGAAAATAACCCTTTACCACCCTCTTCAATATGAGAGATGACTTTTTGTCAGTAAGGTGTAAAGGTGGCTGTGTAATCCTAAACTGTTTTGCTGTTGAAAAAGGGAACAACTGCTGGTTCGAGCCCCTGTTGAGGAACAAATTAATTTAGAGAACGAAAACTAAATATTTTGCAATTTCTACATTTATAAAGGGGCATAACTCTAGAACGGTTAAATTAACGCCACCAAAATTCAAACTTGATCTGTGTTTTGTGGTAATAAGCATTGTGTATAAGTTTCATAACATTTGGTTAAGGCAAACTCAAGTTAGAGAACGGAAACCAATTTTGGGATTGACGGACAAGGGTAAAACTTATTGCCCCCACCGCTACGGCAGGGGCATAAAAAAAGATCAAGTGTAATATTAAGCTAACCTCTTGACCCTATATATGATAACATTATATAAATAACACATAGCTGAGAGGGTGATAGAGCAGACTGTTACCCAGAGAAAACATTGTCAAATGAGGCGAAGCCAAGGTTGACAATGTCTTTTCGAGGGGTAACAATCTGCTCTATCACCCTCTCAGCTATGTGTTATCTAATTTATTATACTGAATGTTCTGTTATTACTGTCTATCAAATTTCAAATTCAAAGTAATAAACCATGATGTCTTGTACATAACAACCATCCGTATTTAATAAAGCGCACACTTGATCAAGCGTCTCTGTGAAGGGCAGGGTTTGACACTAACTAAATGTATGTACTAGCCTGCAGGGCTAGTGAAATTATTATTCTACTAGTCCTCTCGTCAATTCACTAGTCCTCCAAGTGCCGAAGGCACTTGGACAGTCATGCCACCGGCACGACCCTATCTAGGAGGGTCTGGGGGCATGCCCCCCCCAGAAAATTTTGATACAAATGAAGCTAAATCCTGTGTTCTGGAGCATTTCCAGAGGGTTTTGAACATGTTTTGTTTCATGAAATTTCACTGATTTGCTAATAAAAAATACCCAAAAAAAATAAAATTTCATATTTTAAATATTCTATATTAAAAATGTGTTCGACTTATTTTGAAGACCCCTTTCGATCATTACTTCATCAGGCTTAAATTAAAATATTGTTTGTTTGCAGTTTACCGACCGACCTTCGATAATCCGCCCGACTGTGAACATTTTATTGCTTTTAATTTGAAGAAATTATTTTTAATACTTCAATTGACTCGATCCGGAATTTCGGGTCGTTTCCGGAATTGATTTCGAGTCTAGGTCAATTACATGTTTGAAGTTCGGTTTTTCTTCCCTTCCTGTCAAGCGTTCATCGGACCCTTTAATGGTGAAGCACATGGAGATTGTTTACAGGTATCCACGAAGTCATGGAGGAGTACTTTATTCTGTCGTCTTCTGTCAATTTTAAGACAAATAATACACAGAAAAGTTTCATAGTAAACTGTTTATACTGATTCAGGCAGAATTGCACACGGAATGATGTCTTCGATGATATCATTGACGATGATGCAGCGGATATTCATAAAACCGACACGATAACCGTTTCTGACTTAAACAAATCGGATACAGAATCTTTTGAGACTGACTTTAAGGAACCAATATCAGTGGTTCAACAATTCGACACCAGCCTGAAGTATCCCATATAATTTCTTTAAATCGTCGTGAAGACGACAAAGAGGAAACAGACTCCTCCGTGACTTCATGGATAACTGTAAACACGCCTGTACGGTGGAAGGACGCATTTGAAATGTTAAATCAATAAGAAGCCACACAAACTGCACAAAGATGTAGAGAAAATGAATGGTTGGCTTGAGAAATAAATATATTCTTTCTGTATCAAATCTATCTTCGATTGCAATGAGTATGCTCCTTTAGGATAAGGGGGGCTGTCCCACTCATTTCAATTATTCTCTCTCTTACAATATTAAATATACCCAAACTGTGTGGCCTGTGTGAATTGAATTGAAATATGTCCTTAGCTAGGAGCTATGCTGCTATTTTTTTATGCAGTCAAAACATTTCAGTACAGACCATTTACTTTTAATGGGGTGCTATGGATTTCACCCCAAAGCTAGACTTAAGATTTTTGTTTGTTTTAAATAAAGCCTGGCATCAACATATCTTTCCAAATATAACCTTTATGTCAGATGTCTAATATATTTTTTTTTTAGTTGTCTTTTTTTCAATTGAGGAAGATTCAATGGTTGATTTTTTTTTAACACACTCCTAAATTGTCTTTTAAATCTTTAATATCTACATTTTTCTGATGCAAATACTCTACTCATGAAAACATTCTAGTAAAGATGCATATATGTCAGTGAATATGTTTCTTTACAACAATTCTAGTCATTCCTTGTTTATAAGTGTTCCAGTATTTCATAATACCATAAATTTATGTCATAAATTGTATAATGACACTATGTTAAGTTTCAGTTTTGGTTAAAAAGGTGTTTACCTGAAAATGCCTGTTCATTTCATGTTGGTTTTCAGTGTTTGTTGTTTTAAAATATTTTTTCTTCACAAGAAACTTGGTTTGTGTTAAACTACTTGTTTAAACTTTATTCTGGCTGATAAAATAAAATATTTTTCCTACCTACCGACCCTGCAGTCTGAAGGTACAGTCGGAAAACTGCAAACAAACATATTTTTAAGGTTGGCCTCATCATCCTCATTTTACTTATCATTATTACTAGTGTCTTTAATGAAGATGGATAAGTTAGGGATTTAAAAATACACCCACAAAAGAGGAAAGGTTTGTCCTTGCTCATGTTGCTGTTTTTTGTCATAATTCTTTATGGACTCCTTTTTTTCCCTTGTTGTTTCAGTTTAATTTTTTTTTGCAGGACAAGATTTTATTCCTAAAAATCTGTATATTTTTACCAGAGACCAAGGAATTGTATAGTATACAAATCCTTGCAGAGACCTATAATTTTGTTTCTATGACAATAATTCAGTGATATTGTTTGCCTCAAATTACATTCGAAATACAGCTTTTTCCCCTAGAAGAAAATTGCCAATTACTAAATAATGGCTTAAAATTCCTCCCAATAAGTTGTACATTTTTTTCCCAAACAGTGATGGTATCGGTAGTAATGTGTGTAAATTTCGTATTCATGTTATTATTTTGATATTATGAAAGCACTTTTGAGATCCAGGTTTCTGATTAGAATCATCACGGCGTTTGTAACACACGTGGTTTTCAATGTATTAAGTACCATCATTGTTTCCGTTTCTTTCCCCTCCCCAAAAAGTACCTTTCATGTTAAATAATGTCTGACAATCAAAATATACGTGAATAAACTGTACAATAAAGACAGCAAAGGTCTGCAAAAAATCTGGGATTTGTTGACAATTGAAATTTTGTGAAATTCCTAGTTTTAATCAAAATTTTTACTAGCCCGTCGGACTACTGTGATGAAAACTTTACTAGCCCTCCCTAATTTTTTCTAGCCTCGGGCTAGCGGACTAGCGTTAGTGTCGAACCCTGAAGGGTAATAGAGTATTTGTCATGGGATAGAGTAAATTGTCTCCCTGGTATTAACCAATCAAAATCTGGCATTTTGACATGAAGTATAATAAAATATTATATCACTGCATGGAGAAATGATATTTCCCATATCCTTTCTATTTCTAATTGTAATGGCTTGCTGACTGTCTTAAAATTTGTAAAACTGAATGTAATGGTTTTGTGGAGTATCTTTATTCCTGAGTTACATTTACTGATAAAATTGAGAATCGAAATGGGGAATATGTCAAAGAGACAACAACCCGACCAAAGAGCAGACAACAGCTGAAGCCACCAATGGGTCTTCAATGCAGCGAGAAGATCCTGCACCCGGAGGTGGTCCTCAGCTGGCCCCTAAATAAAATTGTGTGCTAGTTCAGTGATAAACTCCAAAACATATAAATGAACTAAAATTAAAAAACATACAAGACTAACAAAGGCCAGAGGCTCCTGACTTGGGACAGGCGCAAAAATGCGGCGGGGTTAAACATGTTTTGTAAGATCTCAACCCTCCCCCTATACCTCTAGTCAATGTAGAAAAAAGAAACACATAGCAATACGCACAGTATAACTCAGTTTAAAAGAAGTCTGAGTCCGATGTCAGAATAGGTAACAAAAGAAACTAAGTAAAATGACAATGATACATAAATGAACAAAGGACTACTAGCAGTTACTGACATGCCAAATCAGTTAACTGAATCTATTTCTCAAATGATTTGTATATCATGTATCATCAAACAATATTTTTCTATCAGAGGTGATAAGGCAATGGCCGCCTTTTTCATGACATCACAACAGCAAGATCAGAGAACAGCAAATTATTCTGAGCCAACCCATTGGTGGTGTTCGGCTGTTGTCTGCTCTTTGGTCGGGTTGTTGTCTCTTTAGACATATTCCCCATTTCCATTCTCAATTTTATTAGTTGCTCTTATTCCGATATGCTTCATATTTTGCTTAAAACAGCAGTATCAATTTTTCTATGGTTTGACTGGTTTGGATGGAACCAACTACCTCACACTACAAAGGACCAATGAGGTGTTTAACAACATAACAAGATAAAAATACCTCTACTATTCTTTTATCAGCTCTTGATCTAGCCACTTGTTCTTGGTGCATTCTTCTTTTCATCTGAATTAGCTCAACCTTTAAAATAGTAGTAATAATCGCTATTTTACGAAATTTTCCTTTGATCTTACTGACTGATATTTTCCTTTCTCAGACAGTAGAGTGATATGAAAAATTATCGCTAGAAACTAAGGGTGCACGTGCCGTTGTAAATGAAATTAACAACATCGTCATAGGTAAAATAGCGATAAACAGATTATCATTGGTCATCTCAACTCGATTGCTTTTTCTCACTTTCGCCGTACCAGCTCAAGCGAGAAAATCAATCTCGTTGAGATGACCAACGATAATCTATAAATATACTGTGGATTCATTTATTTTCATGGATAACAATTTTTGTTGAATTGGGGATAATTTTATTTTTGGGGATATTTGATTAAGGGGTTTTGCCAAAGTCTGCATAAATGCCAATAGAAAATTTGACTTCTTGAACATTTAAATTCGTTATTTTCCACAAAAATTGGTATCCAGCATTTCATATTGAATCCACAGGATATGAAAAATTCTCAGCAATATACAGCTCAGGTGAATTTTGTTACTTCAAACTGTGCATGGACAAAGAATACCAGGGAAAAGGTTCTAAATTCAAAATTTTTGCAAACTCTAAAGTTAAAATTTGAGTGGGGAAAAGAGGGCTGTCCACTCTTTGTAGGCAGAAATGACCAAATTCATCCAAGCTGTGGTTTTCTTCATTTGGAGAATTGGGTGTCATAAGCAGATCTTTGATTGTTCCGTTTATTCTTTTCACAACTGTTATAGACTCGGAACAATTTAGAGCTTGATATATTGTATGTATACCATACTATTTTTCCCTCTAGATTTCTTTTATTTATTTAGTTGTTAGGTTGCTGTTGTCAAATTTGCATATACCCCTTATCCTCACTTATCCATATGCTGTGGATTCATTATTATTAGTGGGCTAGCATTTTTTTTGTGGATTTCATAGGTATAGGTTAACCATGAATTTAAATATTTGTTGAGGGGCGTAAAAGGGGGTATCTGCACGGAAGAACGCAAAATAAAATTGCCATTTCACGATGAACCAACAATTAAAAATTTCTTGCACATTGATCTTTTAACCGATTTCACGAAACACGGTGAATAACGAACCTTTTTCACGGCTGCACATGAAATAAAAATGGCAAAACACGTTGCACGAAAATAACCCTTTACCACAAGGCTTCCAAAACGGTCATATATTCCGGACAATTGTATAATGTCCGGTAAAAGTCCAGCTGGGCAAAGCATGAAATGGTCATCTACTTTTTAGTTAACAAGGCTTTCTTAAGAGACGGTCATTTTAGCATAATTCACGATATTTTTTACCCAACCTTTTGCCTTTAACAGCCACACATTTCCGGTCATAAAAGTGACATGATGATTAATTACTATCAAAACAACCCCTACTTCAATACTTTCTAATTTTAATCAAGGCTAATTAGTTGTTGGACAGCTGAAATCTACCTGTTCAGTTGACAGGTAAACTATTTCCAGTACCGGACATCGTATAAATACACCTTATCGCTATTTGTCCGCCATTACTGGACATCACACAAGTTCCCGTAAAATTTTGACGTCACAATAGAAAATGTCTGACGCCACAATGGAAAAATGATTGTTGTATGACGTCAAAAGTTCGAGCGGGACAGATCTCGGGTCAAGCGGGAATAGCGATAAGGTGTATTGATCGGTCTATTCAAAGTTAATTTCTTACATTTCAGTAGTTTCTTTCTAATTGATTTAGTCCAAAAGATTGAAATTATAAGAAATACGTTTATAAACATGATTTGATGAAAATTTTAAAAAGGTTAAGAACTACGTTGTATGAACTAGAACACGTATGCGCATGTGCACAGTAGGGAAATTTAATTATGCATCCTACATTTCTTAAAAAATGATAAAAATTATCATTGATACCTGTATCTAACGTTCATTTCAAGTATTTTGTTGAAGAAATAACGTGGAAAGAGCTTCTTCACTCAGTCGTGCTTTGTAAAAGTACACGGATTCTACGTATCCGTTTCTGGTCCATGTTTTACCATTGTCAGGTCAACATCCGGTATTAGGAAAATGTGATTTTAAAAACGAAAGTAAAGTTTTTGACAACGTAATTTTGCACAAATAAAGAGTCTAAGGCAGTTATGAGCACGCTGATGTGCACACTTCGAATTATGCACTGCCAATTTAACAGTTTACGTCCGAACCTCAAATTCACATCAAAGTAAAGTTTAATATCGTTTTTTTTTAATCTAATGTCAATCATTGGGATGGCCATCTGATTACCATAATTGCTTTTTGTGACTTAGTCTTAAGGGATTAAAATCGGGATAAGATATAAAATGTCCGGCTGGCTCAAATATTTTTTGGAAGCCCTGCTTTACCACCCTCTTCTCTTTGCTGAGGTACACATTTTCTAAAAACTTGTATAGACTTTGGAAAATCCATAAAATCAAATATTCATGAAAATAAATGAATACACTGCACGAGAGCAAAAATGTATACTGTTTATTCAGTGTTAAAATATTTGGTGCTCTTTACCTCTGTAATTGGGACACTATAGTATATTTTCAATCAAACATTTTTAAATCTTAATTTAGGCTGCAGTGACCTAATTTGTTACTCTAATCCTTACTCTTAAATCCTTAATATTGTTAACCTCAGTAATTAGGGCACTGTCATCTAATTTCAATTTTTCCAGTTCTCTTAGCGTATCTTCATCCTCCTCCTTTGTAATGATAATTGATGATTGATCATGTGTGGACAGGTTCACTTCTTCGCTGTTTTCATATAGATTAGATATTCCTGGTACATGTTCAGGGGGGAAACCTCTGTAAAACATAATTTTTAAACCATAAATCAATCAGTAATTAACTGTATTAATAAAATCGAGCATGATTAACACTTTCTGTTATTATTTTTACAAAAATAACAGTTGAAGATTTGAAAATTTTATAAGAAACATGATTGTGTTTGCATAATTGGTGGGACAGATGTGACATGTTAAACTGGAATTATTTTTTATCAGAGGCATTTATGAACTCAATGTTTAGGTGTTTTCCAAGTTATTTGGTATTATACCTTTAAACATTTATTAGTTAAGGTGGCACCTAACACTACAGGGAGATAACTCTGTAAAAATCAGCTAAACGTTTTAATCACGTTGTATTGTTAAGGAAATATACAGCTTCTCAATGATCAAAATTAGTGTTTGTCAAACTGCTATATAACCAATGAAATTTTTCTGATAAAGTGGTTGGTTCAAATTTTTTGAAATTTTTATATTTTTGTCAAAGGGTCAAAGTAAACATTTTGTCAAAATTTTATGAAAATTAAACGAGCCAAATTAATATTAGTCAAGGTGTTGGGTACCACCTTAAACTTCAATCTTTTTAAAATAAAATTTTTGAAGTTCACAATAACTGTAAACAAGCTTATCTTCTTGGATGTACATTATTTCACGTTTTTTAAGCCTATCTTCATCCTAAAAAGCTGACTTTGACAATTAATATTCACTTTTTTTTCTATTTCTAAGTAGCAAGAATAAATCAGTAGATTTACAGTATGGTAAATGAACAAGGTACCTGATCTTTCATTACTAACTTACCTAAATCTGTTGGCCCTAGCAGCTGTTCTCCAAGGACGTCCAGGTCCAGATTTTATTTCCTCAGAGCTGATTGGATTCATTTTTCTTGCTACATTAACATTGCCTGTGGACTTCGTTCTCCGTCTACTAGTATTTGCTGAAATCTGAAAATTGAACAATTGTGTGTTAATTCACCTGATTTACCTTTAAGCATGTCAAGCTCTGAAATTTAAAAGCACGACCCAAATTAAGGATGTTCGCTTCTCTGTTTCAGAATAACAAGCTTTTCAAAAGACTACTATGAAATGATTGTATATAAATAAAGGAATTAAAAAAGCAGAAAAAAATGAAGGGTCCATGTGCTTGTTTTTCGAGATATAAGCTATTGAAAATTTGGCGGGAAATGATTCTCTCTAGATTTTTCATACTTTTAACATTGTCTGCTTTTTTGTTTCAAAAACTATGAAAAAATAACAAGGATTTTATAAGATTTTCAAATATGGCTTTTTAAACTATATGTAATAAAATTATGAAAAGAAAAGTAGGGGTTAGTGGGCAAATTTTTTAATGGCAATACGTGGATAAAACCAGAGGATTCCGAAAATCTGGCAAAAATTCAAAAACAAGAGGAGCAAACATCCTTAAGCAATAGATAACAAAACATAATGCTTACAACTTTTTTCAGTTTCTATTCAAATAAATACTAAGCTTTTATTTTTTTTTTGTCGTTTACAATTTCTTTTTTCTAAGTTTTAATTTGTCTTATATAAATGTCATATCTTTATGGTTTTTTTTTTTGTTATTTGGAAAATTGCAATTTTTTTTGTGTGGTTTTATTTTTTTTAACAACTTTTATAATAAAGGATTGGGACAACTTTGAGCTTCACATATTGAATAGAGAGATGTCTATTGTTGAAGGCTGTACATTGCTCTCATAATGTCATTTGGTTATTTTTGTTGTTGGGTTTTTGCCACATTGACATATACACCACATCTTCTATTCCTATCAACAAAATTATTTATTAATTACTGACTTTAATAATATCTATTCATTTTTCTAAATCATTCATTTTGAGATAATTATTGTTTCTCATACATCATGTTTGAGGACCACATATATTTTAATCCTAATTGTGATTTTTCTACGAAGACTAATTAAATGTTGGCATCCTCATTTTTTGGCTAATATTTTGAACTACAAATCTCTTCACATTGTTTTACATAATATATATATACCTTTAAATTTTACTAGTTTATCATTTTTACCTTTATTGTGGTTTTTCTACCAAAACTTGAATTTAATGTCTTTGTTCTCCTTTTCTTTGCTGATAATTTGGACTTTGCAGGGTCTAAAGGTTCTTCTGCTTTTAACCATTTATACTAAAAATAAACAAGACATAAAATCAATTGGTAAATAAAAGAAGAATGTGTCTGAGGGCACGAATGCCCTCACTCAAGCTATGCAATTTTCCAAGTTTAAAAGGGGCATAACTCTAGAAAGGTAAATGATTCATTGCCCAAATTCAAACTCTGACTGCGTTTTGTAGTTTGAAGCATTGTGTATGAGGTTCATAAAATTTGGGTATGGCAAACTTCAGTAAGATTGTGGAAACAAAATTTTTTTCAATTTTCCAAGTTATAAAGGGGCATAACTTTAGAACGGTAAGTGACTAGCTTACCATATTCCAACTGTCTGCAAGATTTGCATGAGGCAAACTTAAGTTAAGAGTGCAGAAAGGAAAATGGGACAGACAATCAAGGGTAACACTTAACGCCCCAATTGCCTAAGGTGGGGGCATAAAAATATCTGTTTGCTGCACAAATATATTCAGTGTGTTGTCCAAATTTTGTTTTTCAGTAAATGTCCTGCAAATTCATCAATTGTTTATTTATAAACTCGAGAACGGTGAAAGTGACGCCACCCAAATTCAACAATGATTTGTGTTTGGTTGTAATAAGCATTGTGTATAAGTGTCATAACACTTGGTTTAAGCAAACTAAAGTTGGACTGCAGATATGGTAAATTTAGCAATTTTTCCATTTATAAAGGGACATAACTGGAGAACGGTAATAGTGACGCAACCCAAATTCGAATTTGATCTGTGTTTGGTGGTAATTAGCATTGTGTATATACCATTCATAAAATTTGGTTGAGACAAACTAAAGTTAGAGAACTGAAACTAATTTTGGGACGTACAGACATATGGACAGACGTACAGACAAGGGTAAAACTTAATGTCCCCTCTGCTGTGGCGGGGGCATAAAAAACTGTTTATTGGCTATTGCAAGGCATGACTAATCCAACTTGTCCTTATTTTTTTTTATTGGTAGTAGAATTTCCAGACAATACTTGATTCTAATGGTTGGTTCCAATTTTGAACATAATGGACATAATTCAAGATAATATATTGCGTTTATTTATTCCCTAGTATAAAGGAGTAAGTTCGATAAGGGCCATATATGGCCCCAATTATTAAGTTCAATGTTACAAGATAAAAAATGTTTTAATTTGACTTAAAGACATGTGAGAAATTAATATAGAACTATTTCTGTCAAATTTTTTTTCTATAGGGTTCATTTTTACATCCCAATTAGGTCAAAGGTCAAAATAGGTCAAGGGATTTTGGCGAAATTTGACAAAATCAGCCAGATTTCAGCCAAATTTAGGACCAGGAAACATAGAGCGCAGGCGTCAACAAACTAAATATTCAAGTTAGACATGTAAAATGTCATTACAAACATTGTTTTCAAAGATCTTTTTTGTCGACATATGCGCTCTATGTTTCCTGTCCAATACTCAATGGAAATTTAGCCATTTTCATTGATTTTTTGTGGAAAATCAAAACGAGTACTATTTGACGTCATGAATAAAACGCAGGAACGTAAATTGTCAACAAATAGTCTTATTTCCTATCTAGTCACTGTATTAGCAATGATTCATTGTAATATTGGTCAATAAATCCTTATTTTAAATTTAAGCTAAATTAAAGAACCTTAGTGAGCATGCTCACATACCCCACGTCCCCACATTGTCATTGGAGAAATTAAATAAGTGTAACAAAAAAAGTTGTATAAGAAAAAATATTGAATAATAATTTCCTGTCAATATGCACATCTACATAGTATGTCCTCCTTATCTACAAAATTTCATGAAATTCTGTTGTGTGGTTTCAGAAAAGTGGAGATGACAAACTGTTGCAGAAGTACATTGAAGCAAATAAGTTCAAAGGGGCGTAACTCCTAGAAAAAAAATGAATCGTAATTTCCTGTCGAAATGCACATCTACGTATTATGTTCTTATTATCTACAATGTTCATGAAATTCTGTTGTGTGGTTTCAGAGGAGTTGAGATGACAAACTGTTGAAGTAGTACCTTAAAGCAAATAAGTTCAAAGGGGTGTAACTCCTAGAAAAAAAATTGAATCGTAATTTCCTATCGAGATGCACATCTACATAGTATGTCCTTATTATCTAAAAAGGTTTCATGAAATTCTGTTGTGTGGTTTCAGAGGAGTTGAGATGACAAACTGTTGCAGTAGTACATTGAAGCAAATAAGTTCAAAGGGGCGTAACTCCTAGAAAAAAAATTGAATCGTAATTTCCTGTCGATATGCGCAACTAAATAATATGTCCTTTTTATCTAAAAAGGTTTCGTGAAATTCTGTTGTGTGGTTTGAGAGAAGTTGCGATGACAAACTGTTGCAGTAGTACATTGAAGCAAATAAGTTCAAAGGGGCATAACTCCTAGAAAAAAAATTGAATCGTAATTTCCTGTCGATGTGCACAACTACATAATATGTCCTTTTTATTTAAAAAGGTTTCGTGAAATTCTGTTGTGTGGTTTGAGAGGAGTTGCGATGACAAGAAACAGGACTGACGGACGGACTGACGGACGGACAGACTGACGGGTCAAAAACATTATACCCTCCGCAACTCGTTGCGTGGGGTATAATAAGGGGGCCATTTTAGGGCCTTATCGAACCTTCTCCTTTTTCGAGGTTGGAGACAAAATTTGCTTTTTTGATGGAACCTTATTTCTTGGTTTCATCATTTGTTCCTATCAAAGTGACTAAAAATTTCTCACGTATTTAAATTTGTGATTTCCCTCTAACCACAAAACCCACAAAAACTGGTACCCCACAATTATTAATGAATCTACAATACTGTGGATTCATTTATTTTCGTGGGTACCAATTTTCGTGGATTGAGGAAAACTTGCATTTTTGTGGATATTGGATTTCGTGGTTTTGCCAAAGTATGCATAAATTCCTATAGAAAATTTGTAATTCGTTAGACATTGGAATTCGTGGTTCCTGGGTAACCACGAAATTCAAGAAAATTGGTATCCAACGAATATTAATGAATCTACAATAGTATGATACTATGTAATTTTAAATTGTAATGTACTTGGGGACCCTTATATAGATTCTACCACAACGTCAAGTGTGATACGATATTTCTCCACTCAAGACAGTTAAATTTTAAAATTTAAAAAGTGGTGCTCGCTGAGCATTTTAAATATCTAAAATTTAACTGTCTACAGTGAATAAATATTGTATTGCACGACGTTTGGTGGTGGAATCTATTTCTCTAATGATATTTAGATTACAATGTATATATCGACAATCGTAGTTCTTCTTTTCGAACTATCTGCAAAAAAAAATGTTCTTTCTATATGATGCAATTAGACATGGTCAACTTTTTTCATGAAGTCACAATAGGAAATTCAGATGAAAGCAAGAAAATTTAACTTCATAATTGAAATTTTGACCAATGAAGAACTGAGATCAAACGAACCACACGTTGATTAAATTTTTTTTTATACAATGGGTGCAGAAAGGGGTAAATCGGTTAAGAATTAGAGAAATGTATTTAATTATCTTTGCACACTTAAGCAACTTTGGTGGTCTATAACTTCTTACAGCATCACATAATATGTATTTTTCTGGAGCTCAAGGCATATAAATCTATATATATAAGCCATGCCAGACACTGGGATAATTACAAATCTGTCTGCTTAAATAGAACTAATATATCAGATACATACAAATATGTTGGAGATAGATTTATTGTAATATTTCTTGAATACTATTACATTGTTGATTAAATAAAAAAAAATTTCAGCAGATTATACAACTGCACAGATTTCAGTTTGGACTTTGTAATCTTCATTTGATCTTTGGACAAAAAGGCCAGATTTTTCCTACATATATCATATTATATATATTGTTTATTGGTTTGTAAATTCTAATAAAAACATTTAATATTTGTTATTTGCAACTTTTGAGGGAGATTTGTCGGAAGGTGACATACATATACCATCTTGACTTATTTTGGACCTTTTGGTTTTTGTGTACCAAATCTCAGACAGAAAATCTTGTCAGATTGTTTTTATGCAGTTTACAATGAGCCTGTTTTAGGTTTAGTTCTTAAAAAAAAAAAATGTTCTATCCTGTATTTTTTTTCTATCCTTTTGCTCCTATTTTCTTCTTGTTGAATATGTGGTTTTGTTCACTTAACATTTTTCTGCTTTTTATTTCATATTCAAATGTGGGTGAAGAATCAGTTCATGTTTTAAGTTTTATCACATCTTTGAATTTTGTTTCATACTAAAATACTATCCTTAAGTAATGCAGGCAAGTTCTAGGGGGTTTTGAATGACCTTGACTCACCATGTGGGATCTTGCACAGATTATATTTACCAGGAGTATTTGAGGTTTTCCGCTAAACTTGGAATGTAAAATAGTACAAAACAAAAAGTCTATATATTCAATGAAATGTGCAAAATTTAGATAGGAATGAAATTCATTTGTCAGACTTTATGTAATGTAATTATGTGATTATCTTAATATTTTAACTGCTTTTACAAATACACAATATTTTTTGTTTGATTCAAAATGATTCAGTATTTGATTCTTTGCAACATCAGGGGAGATAACTCAGATAATAACGATAAGTTTAAATATCTAACCTCAGTGTCTTGACCATTACTGTTGATCATTAACTGTTCCATGATGGCATGTACAACTTCTCGGTCTGAAATAACAAGTAATTAAATATAATTCAATATTTCAAACATCATTTAATTTTGAAGTTCAGATTTTGTACATCACCTCTGTTACTGAGTTAAGAGTAAAAGATTAAAAAAAAATCTAGCAATCTTAATTTTCAATATCAAGCATTTTCTACCATTCTTTCATGAAATGTCCACACATCAGAAACTGATGACAAAACATTGAGTGAATAATTCTAATTAATAGATACACAGTACTAAACTATTATTATTGTATAGTATTAAGGATAAACTCAGGTCAGGTTTATGGAATTTTGTCAGATTTTTGGACTCCTTGGGTTTTTTCCTACGATACAGGGTAAAATATTTTGCCCAATATCACCCACTTTTCTTTTCATAGAAGACTAAAATATAGTATATAAAGGTCATTACCAAAATTTAAGCAGATTCTTAAATTATCAACAATCTGATCAAAATACAGATCCTATGTCCAAGCTTTGTTTTCAAGGATCTGAAAACGTTCATCCTACTTTCAGTTTTTAAAAGACCTTTCGTGAACCTCTGGTTTTGTCAGATGAATACATACTTTCCAAAATTTGAAGGCTGAAATTTCATTGGCTGATGTAATAATTACTAGAACAGAAAGTAAAAGAGAGTGTTGTCAGATCCTTGTAAGCAAAGCTTAGGCACAGGATTTGTATTTCAATCTGATTGGATTATCAATTACCCTGTATCAAGATGAAAACTGTGTCTTTTTATGTTGTCATGTTATACTACTGTTTCAGGTTAGGGTGAAGGGTTGGTGCCTGTTAAAACGTTTAAACCTGCTGCATTTGTATGCACCTGTCCTAAGTCAGGAGCCTGTTGTTCAGTGGATGTCGTTTGTTGGTGTGGTTCATAAGTGTTTCTCGTTTTTTATATAGATTAGACCGTTGGTTTTCCTATTTGAATTGTTTTACACTCGTCATTTCAGGGCCCTTTATAGCTTGCTGTTCTGTGAGCCAAGGCTCCTGTGTTGAAGGCCGTACTTTGACCTATAATTGTTTACTTTTTATACATTGTGACTTGGATGGAGAGTTATCTCAATGGCACTCATACCACATCTTCTTATTTATATATATCAAACTTCTTGATTCAGTGTACGACATAAAGCTTACCTGTAATGAAATCTTAAATGGTATTTTCATATCATGTATGTCTGTCTATTAATTGAAGATAATGGCATACCAAATTAAAAGATAAGAGTTTTTTTTAAATTTAAACATGACAACCGAATAACATTTCTTGAAACCAAACTGTATTCTATACAAGGTTATGTGCACTGAAACATTGTCAACGCAGAACAATCAATGGTTGTCAAATATCAAGCTCTTTAATTTAATTGAAATGGGAGAAGCATTATACACCAAGTTCACATTGACTTTCAAACTGTCACGACTTTGGCAAAAACATGATACTCAATTCAAAATTATCAAAATGTTCATATTTATTATCAAACTTATTATTTGCTTCAAAAAGTACTTGATAATGAACATCTATTGTGATGCAGTGGTTATATTTTAATTTTTAACATTTTAGGGGAGATAACCCAAACAGTAAATCTTTTATAAAGACTGTTAAAGAAATTTACATTTTTTACTTGTTGCAAGAAAACAAGTTCAGTGACACCAATTTTTTTTTTTATTTCCTTAAAGCATATTATAAAACCTATCTCCTCATATTTTATTTCAAATTTCTATCGCATAAATTTCTTTTTATTTATAAAAATGTTGATTTAATGTATAATCTATACAAATTTCGCCAATTATTGCACAACTTGTAGCCTGAAAAATAGCACGGTGACCCATACTTAAAATTATATTTTTGAAAAATGGATGGTAAAATTTACATTTTGGAAAAAAATCTATCTGAGGATATATATACCGATGATCCACCTTATAACCTATTGAAAGAATTTTCTATAATGTTTTGATGCTCAATTGTGACTAGTTGTAAAATTATATGTCATTAGAAATCAGAGAAACAATTTAATAGCCATATCAAAATATCTAAAAATCATTTTGAAAGAATTTCTATAATGTTTTGATGCTCAATTGTGACTAGTTGTAAAAATATCAGACACTTAAGCTATCAGCATGTTATCATTTCATTTGAAATCAGAGAAACAATTTAATAGCCATGTCAAAATATTTAAAATAAATGTCTTCCCGGAATGCTTAATATTACTATTGGATTTCAAGTCTTCAATTCAAGCTGTGAAATTGAAGAAATTGAGGGAAATTACAGCTCTTACGAAATTCTATAGGACAATAATGGGTTTTCCAATAAAAAGCAGTTAAAAATCAAGAGCTTATAGAAATTCTATATGATTGTGATGGTATTTTGAAGGAAAGATGTAAACTACTGTAATTCAAAGAAAAACATTTTATAAGTCTGTGTGCTTGTTTTTGATAAAATGAAACAAGTGAATCTGTGAGCTACTAATGATACCCCCGCCCGCTTAAAGTATAAGGTAAACAGGAAGTTGTCGAGTGATGAATCTGAAAACGCATCACACGGTATAGCTGACTCATATAAACCCTGAAACAAAATTTCAGAAATCCTTGTAATGTAGTTCCTGAGAAAGATGCGACAAAAAATATTCATGGGACGGACGGACGGACTGACGGATGGACGGACGGACAGACAGAAGTAAAACAGTATACCCCCACTTTTCTAAAGCAGGGGAATAATAACTTTTAGTGAGCAAGCTCACATACTCTTCACCACTCATATAGAAGGCAAAAGTTTGTAATGACCTGATAGCATAGTTTTTTCTATTTCCTTTTCTTATGACCTAAAACCTAGTAACTTCAAAATAAAAATAACAAAAAAGTTGCAATCTCATATGTAGCAATACTTAAGTATTTGATATAGCAAACCAAAACCGATTTTCAGCACAAATTTCAGTCTATTTTAGTAGCTATGACCTAGTCCTTTGCTATGGTGACCCCAAAATCAAACGGAATAGTCCTCTTATAATATGTGACCACGTATAGATGCAATCACTTACATAATATATCAAATCAAGCATTTCAAATCTATTTTTAGAATCAGTGGCCATATTAATTTATGGAAATTTCTCTTTTTGTTGAACACTTAAATTTGTGGTTAACCTGTAAACATTTTTGTTTCAGGGCCAAAATATTTACTTTGACCCTTTGACAAAAATATAAAAAATTCAAAAAACTTGAACCACACACTTTATCGGAAAAATTTCATTGGATATAGAGCAGTTTGACAAGGCCATAAAAAAGAATAGGTTGGTTTGCCCTAACCCGACCGACCCATAAAAAAGCAGCCGAGTCGAAATCTTTTTTTATTCAAAATTCGCGGTTTTTTTTTTTGCGGAGTTTTGTCGTATCCGCATCAGTCTTGAGTTTGTTGCATAGAATATAAACCTGATCAGATCTGACCGCGCTTCATCACAGGACAATTTGTGTTATGTATTAAAGCCTCCAATTGATATGGATAAAAAACAATATGTTTTACTGTCTAGTACAAATAAACGTTGGATTAAAATCAAAACCCGTAGTTTCCAACAAATTCTATCGTTTTGAAAACGCAAAAACATGGAAAGAGGTGTTTGATAAAGTGTGTGATGACGATTTTATGCTACGGAAAACTGATGAAATTTGTGCGACTGTCTCTGACCGATCGGGACACTCAGTTGAGCCCGATTTTGAGGAACCAATCCAAGTTGTTCAGGAATTTGATTCGGCATTAAAATTTGATTAAAATGATATTATTCTGACAGAAGTTCTGTCAACAGTGTTTTGTATTTGAATTTTGTATTCAAATAAACTTCTTCTTCTTAGCATGAGCCTCCTTTAATTAGGAGACCCCCAAATATATATGTAGTTTTTCCTTAACTTTAAAATTTTAAAGAATAAAACAAAAACGTTTTTTCCAACATATGTATAGCACATATAAGTATAAAACAATAAAAGTATCTTGCATGGCATATTTACAGGGACCTTTTTATTAATTATCTTATTTCATTTTCATAGCTTTTAGTATGTGTCCAGAGCTTCTTTACATTTCTTACAATTGTTATATGACAGACTCTGTGTCGGTATATACCGGTATATGTCACTTATGATAATCACTATTTTCATTTGTTTGTCATTTCTTCCATTTTGAGATATATTTATATGTATATACGTATATGCAATATATGTCTTGCTATTTGTTGTCCATAATTTTCAATCTTTCTATATGCATTTGGAATAACATACAATGTATTTCTGGTTTTGCTTTCAATATTTTCCTGGAATTTTTCAGTTATCACAGCTCCTTATATTTTGAACAGTCTATAAGCAATTGTACTATCGCAGTTTTGTTCGTGAAGGTGCAGTTCCATTTTGCTGGTGTGATTTTATCAGTGATTTCTTTTCTTATTTCAGGGAAATATTTTCCTCTGTAGTACTGAGTATAAACTCATTTAAAATGTTTGTCTGTATTTACAATGTAAACATTCAGAAAAAAGTGTGAACATTGAGGTGGAATGCTGGAAAAAAACTTAACAGAAAAGATCTTTATAGTACATATAGATCCTGGCATATATGTGTCTGACAATTTATACAAATCTCTATAATAGTCTTTCATTTTAAAAGTTGTTTACAAGGTAAAATAATTTTCCCCCTATTTTTCTCTAAAAGTCAAAAAAAAAAATTTCCCTACCTACCTACCCTCACCTGAGACTGGTGGGTAGGGTTTGGGCAAACAGAAATATTTTTAAGTCTGGCCCAAACACTAATTTTGATCATTGAGAAGCTTAATATTTCCTTAACAATAGAATGTGATTAAAACGTTCAGCTGATTTTTACAGAGTTATCCCCCTGTAGTGTTATGTACCACCTTAAGTAATAGAAACTTGTGTTTTTATTCAAACTGAGCATATCAACAAAAGATTACAACCGTAATATCATATGAAACAGCATTCATTCGAAACAAAAACTTTTGTATTACGAGAGGGTCCCCAATGAATAACAATGCATCATTCTGTCAATGCGACAACATTTAATAAACTCCCAATATGCAATATATCAGGGATGGAGATAGCTATAAGAATTAAGTGATTTTTGAGTATTATGATCTTCCTACTAGATTTTATAGTCTATGACTTTCATTATTACATCATAACCTGTCACAATTTCATTATATAAGATGTACATGGATGCCCCACTCGCACTATCATTTTCTATGTTCAGTAGACTGTGAAATTGGGGTCAAAACTCTAATTTGGCATTAAATTAGAAAGATTATATCATAGGAAACATGCATATATGTGTACTAAGTTTCAAGTTGATTTGACTTCAACTTCATCAAAAACTACCTTGACCAAAAACTTTTACCAAAACCTTTAACCTGAAGTGGGACAGATGGACGAACGATTGAATGGACGAACAGACGAACAAACGAACAGAAGCACAGACCGAAAAACATAATGCTCCTTAGTGGGGCATAAAAATTGAATTTGGAGTATTTTGATTTACCTACAGGATTATATAGTTCAATCATGTTCGTGGTATAGGGGGAGGTTGTGATCTCACAAAACATGTTTAACCCTGCCACATTTTTGCGCCTGTCGGGAACCTCTGGTCTTTGTTAGTCTTGTATGTTCTTTTAATTTTGATTTATTTATATGTTTCAGAGTTTAGTGTGACATCCAATAGCTGAACTAGTATAGATTATTGTTTAGGAGCCAGCTGAAGCCGCCTCTGGGTGCAGGATTTTCTCGTTGTGTTGAAGACCCATTGGTGGCCTTGGGCGTTTTTTTTGCTCCTTGGTCGGGTTGTTGTCTCTTTGACACATTCCCTGTTTCCATTCTCAATTTTATCATTGATATGCCATGAAATAACATAATATAAAACAAGTATATGTGTCCATATGACAGCATGCCCTGCTCACATTATCAGATTTCCATCTAAAATGAACTGCAAAACCTGGGTGGAAACCCTAAATTGGAATATATATTGAACAGATAACTTTATAATTAACATGTGTACTAAGCTTAAAGTTGACGTATCTAAAACTATCACGAATCAAAACCTTCTAACCAGAAACAGGATTGATGGCTGGACAAATATACAGCGGAGCAGACCAGAAATCATACTGCCCTTCTACTATTGTATTAAAACAGGGCATAATAATTCCATGAAAATAACTTTTTTTCATTTTCTTTTTTTTTTAATTGCGGTCTCCTTACTGTTTACTTCTATGTTCAATGATAGACAAAAAATCATAAAACGAATTTTTTGAAGTTTTTAAAATAATAATGGAGTTTTTAAAATGAATACTAACATCTCTAAATGTCTTGTTTTTTTGTGTCTTTAGGGTGCTGCCTCATTGTTGTGTACTCCATGTCTCCTACATGTTTTACGAAACATGGAAATATTTTTATTTTTTGAACTTATACATGTTCAATACTATCAAATTATAGAAATAAATGTATTACTTACAACCGGCATATAAACAAAAACATATTTATACCATTGATTCATTTATTTTCCATGGTAACAATTTTTGTGGATTGAGAAAAGCTTATGATTTCATGGTTTTGACAAGTTTTGTATATGAAATTTGTATTTTCGATGCGTGAGAGCTAGTGTACCGTGGATTCATTTATTTTAATTGATACCAAATTTCGTTGTTTGCGTTTTTGTGGATACTTACTTTATTAGCTTTTACAAATTCTGCAATGATTGTATTGGAACTTTGTATTTTTCGTTAAATTCTTGGTTTAGCTTTTCCCACAAATTCAACAAAAATTGTTACTCCCACAAATAATTATGAATCCACAGTATCAAAAGTATATTATACCTATCAATGGATTCCGTCTCACATCCAAGACTACCACGGTTGTGTTGTATTTCAATACATCCAGCAACGACTTGGCCCCTGTTGTAGATATACCACATCCTTGCATGTCTAATGCTACAAAAAAGTTAATATTAAAGTAAGAATAATTTTCTCTACTAATCAAATACAGTCATAAAATTGTTAGGAAAGCAAAAGTAAATATTAAAACTAGAGGCTCCACTGAGAATAAAAATTCAAGGGCTATGACCTATATAAAGCTTCTGATGAATTCTTCCATGTTGACTTACTTGTACATCTTATTTTACTAATCTTTTTTGTTATTTACAGAAATCACAAAAAAATAGTAAAAAAAAACTGTCATGCAAAAAGCCATGATATTTTAACTTTAAATTTCAATATTCTAGCTTAAACTGGCATAAACAAAATCTAAATATATATAGCATTCAGAAAATTAGTTTATACAGAATAACAAACAAACCTACCACAAAATTCTTCAAACAATTTACCAAAGAAAAGAAGAAAAAAAAATCCAAAATGTCATTTATCATTAATACAATGTCTTTTAAAAATCTATAAAACTTATCTGTAAGTGTAATCAAACTTTATATATATATAATTAAGAATTTCTGTTCAAAGGGAAATAACTCAATCACATAATAAGTACCACTTTTGACTATTGGAAAGGGATATAACTCAACAACAAGTAAAGCTAAAATCCTGAAAATTGAACTTGACCTTTATTAAGTCACAGGAAACAACATACCTAAATTTGAAAAAATTTCGTCAAAGTGTTTTCATGATAATGAACCGACACTGTTTGGCAGCTGCCCGCCCACCGTACATCCCCAAATCGATAACCGATTTTTCCCTCGAAAATCCGATTAAAAACCAATTTTTAGTTAAAATAGTAGAAGAATTTGTATGTACATGTCAGTATTTATAACTTTTTAGAAAGTAAACTTCTTTATATCTTTTTAGAAAGTAAACTTCCTTAATTCAACTATTTACAGATACTTGGAAGTTAAAAACACTTGCAGTCTTCAATTTTGAATAATTTGGAAAAAACAGTTCCGGAAATTATGTTATCAAGTAGTCTTAAAATCGATGATAATATCTGACTTTTTAAGGTTTGTTCTTTTAATTTGTTAAGCTGTTATACAACTTATTGGTTTTCTATTTTGTATTGTTTCATATTTTGTCAAGTTGTGGAATTTTGTATCTTTCTATATGGTATGGGTTTAGCTCAATGCAGAAGATCATACATTGCAGTGGCTTGTAATTGTTCACATTTTTGTCCTCGGGTCTTTTTGTATAGTTATCTCATTGGCAATCATAAACACATCTCCTTATTATTATGCTGTCAATGAATTTCTTGATAAAAATCAATGTCTCATATTTTACCTTTCAACCAGAGGTCATCCTTGAGAGCCTCAGCCAGATATGTTGCTCCCTGATCACCTAACATAGGATTATTATTTATTGTTATGCGCCTGATTCCCGACATCCTGTCAAGGTCTGGTCGTCTATATCTGAGACTATCCCGCCAGGCTTCATTGTGTCTTTTCATTGCTTGGTGCTAAAAAATAAACAGAAAAATTCTTCGTTAGATATGATTGTTGACATTGCGTAAAAATAGTCATAAAGGATACAAGGCGCCAGACACACGCTTCATCTACACATGACTAACCAGTGACGCACACTCAAATAAAAACACATGAAGAGAAAATCAGTAGAAAAGTTTAAAACCTAAAACGAAAAAAGTGCTAAATCTGGCAAAGGGTAATTATTCCATAGGGTATAAAAAATTAATGTGTCTGTTAGTATTTGAGAAAACATTATATCTTGTCAGACTTCTTTATGTCCTTCATTGCTTAGTGCTGATAAATAATTGGATAAACATTTCAGTGGATTATCTTTGGCAAATCATATTGTTCTTTTGACTGATTGATTGAAAGTCACTTTCAGCACTTTTAGAAATTTCCGAGGCCGTCAGTTTATATTGGTGGAGGAAGTCAGAGTGTCTGGAGAGAACCTCTGACCTTTGGTAGGAAAACTACCAATCCTAGTCAATTAAGATTGGAGTCGATCACACCTGCCCCGTGTGAGATTCGAACTCACAACCTCAGTGTTGACAGGCTAGTGATGCAGTAGTTCGGCTACTTAAGACCTCTCGGCCACCAAGGCCCCTTGTGTTTTTGATGTAGGCCTTTCACAGTTTCTGTTTAATGAATTCACACATTTTCTAGACATTGGGCCTTTCGGACCTCGACATACTGGCATGATACTGCATAGCGGCTTGTCATATTTTAAGCTGGTACTTTGACCACTAAGATATTTTTTTTAAATTTTTTGGTGTCATTGTGTTGTCTCATTGACTTGAGTCTTTCATTTCCATTTTCTCTAATTTTTTAGGCTAGGCCAAATTTAAAATTAAGATTGTTTGAGGTTGCCTACCTACCCACCTAAAAAGCAGCCTACCCGAAAATTGTATGACACAAATCATTTCAATGTTGTTTTTTTTAAAGTTTTTTTCATGCTCTAATGTCATTTCTTGTCTAAAACATGTAACTTATGCTGTTGGCCAAAAAAATAAATTCCCTACCTACCTACCTACCCAATCCCACAAGGCATGGGTAGGCAACATTAAACAAAGAATTTGTTAAGGATGGTCCTATTTTTTTCTATTATTTATGTCTTCTGCTCATTAATCTCTTTTCTTTATATTTTAGTACCTCATTATTCTCCATTCTTAAATTTTTTGCCTACTTTTCTCTATTCTGTAAACCCCATCCAAACAGTCAATGACATGTACCCAAAATCTTTCTTTTATTCATGTCCAAATCTGATTTTTTTTTATGATTGTCAGGCCTTATCATTAACTGAGTGTAGGACACTTATTTCATGTTATAATTTCTTGAATAAGATGTCTGAATATCTTGATATTTCAAAAAAATATCACAAAAATTTTCTTGAACAAACCACTTACAAAGACAAGCTTCAAATTGAATCCTTATATTTTTACATTTTTACTTTATTCCATAATAAGCATATACAACAGTACATAAAATTAGTTTAGACAAAAATAAGAACCCAACCCTGTCGATTTTAAGCAAAACAAGCTGATTTTTTAGGACAATGTAGAAATTAATTCACAGTGAAAGACACAAATAAAAATGTAGTCTATTTGATTAGATGTTTCCTGGCAGAATCCAATATGTATTGGCAATTCACATCTCTGAATTACCACAATAAATAAGCTAGAGATCCGTTAATATTGTCCTTTTAAACTGTAGTTTTCATGATTTAGAACAACAGAAAAAAATAATTATTGGAAACCTAATTACTTTGCTTTTATACATCATAATTAATGTCAAAATAACAAACACATGATTTATTAATCAAGTACAATTTATGGGACCATACCTCATAGAAAATGGAGGAAATTACGCTACAGCTATTAGGGTGGATTACCTGCAGATTAATGATTTGTGGGATACAGATTTTAATGGGTTTCATTAGGTGAAGGTGAACCACAAATTATCTTTAGGCATATATGCAGACTTTGGTAAAACCACGAAATTAAATATCCACGTCCGTATATTTAAATTTTTCCTCAATCCATGAAATTTGGTACCCACGAACATAGATGACTCCACAGAAGTTATTTTCATCTGTCTACAGTGAGAATGAACACAAAATGACCCCAGAGATGACCACAGACTATCAAATGACGGTGTTTCTCTACCCATGAATTGGTAGCACCACCCTTGAATTTCCATAAACATCCTTGATTTTTATCAGAGAAAACCCTTGTATCTACAGATTAAACAGTTAAATGAGATAATTGGAAAATAATTCTTAAGCTGACAGTGTAAGTTTGAAAGACTAAAATCAAATTTTAATATTTAATATTTATATATATGGTTTTTTTAAGAGTATTGCAACAGATAGAAAACTTATAAATATTTTTCAAGCATTAAAATTCATTTTATAAGCTACATCTTCCAACTTTTTCTGTGGTGATCCCTGCGACCCCTGTGTCTACGAAGTGTCATTTCTTTTCTTTCATTGGAAGACTTGTATTGTATGATACCTTGAAAAAATGCGTTAAACTTTTGAAGTCAATAATATTACAATATCCGATATCCATTTGAGTAGGCAGGATTGTGTTGCCTAAGATTGGCAGAAGAAGGTTAGCTTAGATTGGCAGGTGTGAGTTGCCTAGGATTGGCAGGAGTGGGTTGCCTAAGATTGGCAGGAGTGAATTGCCTAAGATTGGCAAAATCAACATTAGCTATAGTGAATTTGATTGCTGTACCCCAATTTTTGACATTTTTACCTATAACTTTTTATCTATTTGTTTTGCTCACACATTGTTGTCAATATAATGGAATTCTATATGACTGTCTTACAACTGAGAGGTTTAGCTAGCTATAATACTAGGTTTAATCCACCATTTTCTACATTAGGAAATGCCTGTACCAAGTCAGGAATATGACAGTTGTTTTCCATTCGTTTGAGCTTTTGATTTTGTCATTTGATAAAGGATTTTCCGTTTTGAATTTTCCTTGGAGTTTGGTAATTTTGTTTCTAACTAAAATAGCATAACAGTACTAATTCTACTGCACCAGATGTGCATTTCGACAATCAATGTCTCTTTGGTGAAGCTAGAAGCCAAAATATTTGAAAAATCAAATATTAATAAAACCTAATACAATTGATGAAGACCTATACATGCTATAAAACCAAAAAGGACCTAAATCATAGCCAAATCCAGACAAGGAAGTCATAGCTTTGCATGAGGAAGATGTATTCCTTTATTCAAAAGGAAGTCCTCTAAAAGAATGCTGGCTGAAGGACATGTTTAAGACCTCACTGTTGACTTTGAGATGAAGAGTAGCAATAATCTTTGTCCATAAGCATGATAAGCTTTCTGGGTTTTTCATCTAGGTGAAGTCACTGTAGCAATTTATAGTCATTAATTCAATAAAGTCCTTTCAATCTTTCAAAAAACAAGAATGTGTCCATAGTACACGGATGCCCCACTCGCACTATCATTTTCTATGTTCAGTGGACTGTGAAATTGGGGTAAAAACTCTAATTTGGCATTAAAATTAGAAAGATCATATAATAGGGAACATGTGTACTAAGTTTCAAGTTGATTGGACTTCAACTTCATCAAAAACTACCTTGACCAAAACTTTAACCTGAAAAACATTAACCTGAAGTGGGACAGACGGACGAAGGAACGAACGGACACACAGTCTGAAAAACATAATGCCCATAAATGGGGCATAAAAAATAATAATTGATTAATTGCCATTTGCTTAATGTCTAGTAGCAAATACTTTTTCATAAAATTGAGAATGGAAATGGGGAATATGTCAAAGAGACAACAACCCGAACAAAGAGCAGAAAGCAGCTGAAGGCCACCAATGGGTCTTCAATGCAGCAAGAAAATCCCACACCCGGAGGTTGTCCTCAGCTGGCCTCTAAATAAAATTTGTGTACTAGTTCAGTGAAAATGGACGTCACACTAAACTCCAAAACATATAAATGAACTAAAATTAAAAAACATACAAGACTAACAAAGGCCAGAGGCTCCTGACTTGGGACAGACGCAAAAATGCGTCGGGGTTAAATATGTTTTGTGACATCTCAACCCTCCCCCAGTATACCTCTAGCCAATGTAGAATAAAGAAACACATAGTAATACACACAGTAAAACTCAGTTGAAAAGAAGTCCGAGTCATGAATGATCAGGACGATTAAAATTATTGTGTCTTGTCTATATCCATCATCACTTTTCATTATCCTTTTTATTTACATTGGCTGATTAAATGGACATCCATAAGTGATCAAATATGCCAAAATGGGTTAGGAATCAGGCTTAAATATCATCAATCACACCACCACTGCCAATCATTTACCCATACTATTGCAGTAGTCATAACAGGTATATTAATCAAATTCAGCTCAGCTTTTTTTCCTACTATTTGTCATACAAATTTTCTTCATTCTCAAATTTAACAAAACAAAATCTGCATTTTTTCTTTTCTATATGAAAAAAAAAATATGTCTATTTTAGCTGAATTCAATCTATCCCTTTGTCAATTTTTATGTATATTTGTTTTATATCTTTCTATATTAGCCATTACCAGGTACTTAACTTATAACAATTCTCAATCAAAATCAGATATTTGCTCTCAATTCTAGTTAATTGTAATTTTTTCAATTTTTTAAAAATTATTAAATGAACAGTGAATTATAAAATTATATTATATGCATAAAGCTATTTCCTTTTTTCAATACTTTAATATATAAAATCACAGACTAGACACATTTTCCTCTTTTATCTTTTCATCCATTACTTATTATTTTCCTTTTTTAGTAATTTCCTTACTTTTTTATCTATCAATTTTTTTTCTGTATATCATTTTTATAATTAAGCCTTTTAAAACTTGAAATACATTAACTAATATTGAATAAACATATTTTCTATTTTAAAACATAGATAACAAAGGCTTATAAATTAGAAAACATAATTATAAATCGCATATTGAAAATTTATTAACT